CAAGGGAAAATGGTTTGAAGTTGAGGGAAGGCAGACTGGGGTTGGATGTCAGGGGGAAATTCTTTACTCAGAGAGTGGTGAGGTGCTGGAACAGCTGCCCAGAGAGGCTGTGGATGCCCCGTCCAGCCCTGGAGATATTCAAGGCCAGGTTGGTGGGACCCTGGGCAGCCTGGGCTGGTGTGAAATGTGGAGGTTGGTGGCCCTGCGTGTGGTGGGGGGTTGGAGATCCATCATCCTCGAGGTCCCTTCCAGCCCTGGCCGTTCTGTGACTCTTACCAAGGTGATGTCTCGGGATGCAGCAGCAGCACTCATGTGCAGGCTGGGCTGGCGGATGGAGCTGCTGCAATCCAACGCACGGGCAAAGGTCCCGACAGCTCTGGTGGGAGGGGGGAAGGAATATGTGGCATCACTGTGCCCCCCAACACCCAATGTCTGCCCCTCTGCCCCTCCCCCGGTGTCAGCTCACCTTGCCACCACCAAGAATTGGTCGATCTGTCTGTCTGTCAGGGGGTTGTCGGGGTCCCATACTTTCATCTCCATTTTTTGTTGGTTCCGGTTGTCTGATTCACCTTGGGTGGGGGGCGTGGGGGGATCCAATTAAACCCCCCCACAGCACATAGACCCCCACCCAAACACAGCTTCCCTCCTTCCCCACACCTTCTGCCAGCCGGTCTGGGATCTCCGCTTGGTATTTGCAGCCCACCCGGATCTCCCCCTGATCTGCCAAAAGCGTTTTCTGGACAGGGTCGAACACCAATGAGTAGAAGAAGCAGTCCTGGGGGAGTTGGAGGGGGGGGCAAAAAAAGGTGTTTAGTTGCTTTCCTGGGGGGCACAGAACCCCCCCATAAAAACTTGGGGGGCACAGCCCTCACCTCCTTCTCCAAGTACTGCCCCAGGATATCGGTCTCGTTGAGGAGCGTCACGCTGCACTTCCCCCTACAGTGTGTGTGTGTGGGGGGGGATTACAGTTTGCTCCTTCTCAGGGGTGAAGAGAAGTGGGGAGGGGCTCTAAGTATGCCCCCCCCGCCCCTTTGAAGCCCCTCCCACCTTATATGGGTGGCTGGCAGGGATTCAAACTGCCGGGAGAGGAAAAGCTCACGGTGCTTCAGCTGATGCCGCTGCTGCTCCGTCATGGTGGGCTGCTTGGATTCCTCCTCAAATTCGCCTGGGGGGGG